GCACAATGATCCATATAGCAGTAAATTCAATGCAATGCTGTTTTCACTGGTTCAGTTATTATTGAAAAAAATACATTATTAATATGATTCCTAACAAGCGCCGGTTAAAATGGTCTGGGTTTGCAGTAAGGACACCCCACAACACACACCACACATACACATACACACACACACACAACACACACACATACACACACAGATTGTAAGTTTGGGTCAGGGTTTGAGTTTGTGTCACATTCAAATTTGGACGCAGCAGCGGGGACAACTGACTCCCAGGGGTCTTCCAAACAGAGTGGGATGAGATGGAGATCTCTACATGTGTGTTTGTGTGGACTGGAGTGTGTAGAAGCCCAGTCGCCCCCCAGCTCCAGTCACTTTACATCAATCTGTGTCCCCTTGATAAAAATAGTGCCGCATGGCCCTCAGCCAGGCAGAGTGGCATCATGAGCCGTCCACCCAGGACCCCTCAGCCTGCGAGGGGCTTCCAGCAGCGCTCACTCACACATGCACACCCATACACACACACACACACACATCCCCCTTCTGCTCCTCCCTTCCAGCTCTTTCTCTTCCACCAGCCAAGGGTCTAGTTTTGGTTTCAAAAGTGTTGGATGAGGAGGCTGTGAAGTTTGAGGCGACCCCCCCACCCCACCCCCACAAACCCACACTCACACTGCAGAAAAGGATATCTATATATGGTCAATATAATCTAATATTTCTAGTTGTAATAACAGCAACCTATTTCGAGAGGTTTCTACAGAATATAAAGGCAATTTAGAGTAAAACTAGCATTTAATTCAAATATCATCTCACTGCAATACCCAGCATGCACTGTGAAAAAAATAATAATTACGGAAAATACCGTGTTTTTCAGCTTCCTAGCAGTAATATACTTCTGAGCTAGCCAGCTAGCAGGGAACAAAAACAATTGTTCCTATAAGCCCACCCTCAGCCACCGTTTTCTCCATTCCTGTCCTCTTCTCTTTCTGTATGCACCATAAGCAGTAGGACGGGGCAGACGCAGAAGCCATACAGGCCACAGATATGGACAGGGTCATACCAGTCAAATCACACATATTTATGCAGGCTGAAAGCAGCTACAGTCGCCTGAAGCTCTAAGCAAAGCTCTGTGGAAAACATCATGATGAACGCAGCAGCCCTACAAACACTTCTTGGTCATGGAAGAAAGTTCAGAGGGTCATTTCAGCTCAGATCATTTTTCATTTTAGTTTATATCAATATAAAAACAAACTGATTTCTGTTTATACCGTCTTGTGCAAAAGTTTGGGCACATTCCACATTTTATGTTTTATTTTTTCCAACTATTTTAAATGTAGCAAATACATAGAAACTGAGCCATTAGTAGAAAAATGCCATATTCACATTAAGTGTGTTCTCTGTAGAGGATGTGTTCACTTATTTTCACTTATAAGATCAACAAAACATGTCATTTGATCAGGGGTGACCAAAATATTTGCATAAGACAAATAATGTAAATTTAGTCTTGTGAACTTGTGTCCGTATGTGGGTCTGCATTTCAACTCCTCGCTCTCATAACTAGAGAACTTACACATTACTTTCAAAGTAGCTACTGGATAATTACCAAATACTTTGTAGCAGTTACTGAATTATTTATAGTAGTTATTAAATCATTTACACAATTTCCTGAGATTTATAGTAGTTACTGAATCATTTATAACCATTATTGAATCATTTACAGTAGTTACTGCAAAATTTGCAGCATTTAATGAATCATTTATAGTAGCTACTCAATCATTTATAGTAGTTAAATATGCTCTGAAAAAGTACTGTGTTGAATTTACTTGATTCAAATGTTTATTTAACTTCCCCATGACTGACATATATCAGCACTACTAGATTGCCACAAGAAAGTAAATAGTGTTGAGAAAATTGTTTACCTATACCGAAATGTAATCCATTTAAATGTATTTCTAAAATGCATTTGAAGATGTATAAAAAAACAGACAAAATCTATTTCCGCCTATTGCACTTTAGTGTTAATATCATTTGCAATGAAATAATATATTTGAAAGTATATATATATATATATATATATATATATATATATATATATATATATATGTATGTGTGTATATATATATATATATATATATATAAAACCACGTGTTTGTAGCTCTATTCCATACAAGTATATAATATATCTTACTGAATTAACTAAATGTGATGCACCATGTTTGCACCACGTTCCTCAGTGTGTTTTGTAGCGTGTGTGAGCTGTGTGGAGTTGATGTTTTGCAATCCTGAGTCTGAGCTTCTGGTTGTGCTCTGTCTGATCAGAGTCAGCACATATTCCTCACGCAGCACACAGGGGACACACATTAGAACAATAGTCATTCTGTTCTTTAGCCCCTGAGCGCGTACACACACACACACACACACACACACACACACACACACACACACACATTTTTATTACTGTCTTTATCAGAATTTCATCAGAGTGGCTGAATCCGATAATCACAATGTACAGTTCTGTGCAAACATCAGAGACCTTTATGTAGCCTCCAGCCAAAGCAGCCATTAAGTACAAATTCTTAATTTTCTGGAGATATTTCTGAGGAGAAGGAAGGAGAAAGTAAAAAGAAAATAAGTAAACAGGAGTTTCCAAAATTGGAGTCGAAAAAGGATTAAAAGATACAGAGAAAATGGGCCTCCTAACAACCACCTGGAAGACCTGGTAGACACCAAAACTGCCCCATCAGATAAACAGCACTTAAAGCTTTCATCTCTGAGAGAGAGGAGAAAATCAAGCTGCTTCAGATCTGAAAACATCCACAGGTGTTTCTGTCCATCCTTCCACTGTGAGAAGACAACTCAGCGCTGTGGGTCTGAAAGGATGTGTTGCTGTCAAGAAGCCTCACTGAGAAAAGGAGACGGACACATCAAACAAAGAAGCTGAACAATGGACTGACCACCCCAGAGTCCCAGACCTCAGCATCACTGAATTTGTTTGGGATTCCTTGGTTTGCGAGAAGCAGAAAATCCAAAACCAACATCTAGGACTGAACTTTGGAGGTGTGGAAAAACATCCCTTCAGATTCTGTGTAATTTTCTGTTTTGTTTTGACTGTAAATTAAATAACTGAAAGGGAGGTTTGCACAGTTCTGTGCATTATCCACAGTATGTCATTATACCAAACTAACTAAACGAACAGGCCACATACAACTATACAGATCAGATGTGGTGTATGTTGTAACAGAGGCAAATCTACAAACTCCCTCTATCTACAACGCCCTACATGTACCTCTACACCCCATGTCTCAAACACAAGGCCTGCAGGCCAAGTCAGGCCTGTGAAATTATTTTAATTTTCTATTATTATTAGCCTGTTTCACCCTGAGATGCACTACAGTCCCCAGCATGCACTGCAACATAGATAACCATCTATGGGCCAGCAGTTACACAAAAAGAAAAGATGCCTGCTGTCTAGTTCAAGCAAATAGGCAGCTTAAAAAAACTACCTAAAATAATTTATTTTTATTCAGAAGTATTCAGTGCCTATTTTGCTGTTGTGGCATATTTATATGGTTTTTGATGCTGAGACATCTGGTTCCCCTCACCACCACTGTAAACAATTTTGCCTCAGTCAGTTTCTCTAAAACTAATCATTTCACATCAAATTCTGAATGACTTCACATCTTAGCAATTTAATTATGCAGACATTTTGAAAAAAAAAGCCTCTTTTACTCTTTCTAATAAAGCTGCAAGCTTTATTACATTTCACTCTGTGGAGAGCCGGCTAAAGCCCAAGCTCAAATTTCAGCCACAGTTCACACTGAGCGCCTTCACACAGGCAGGCAGCGCCATCTAGCGGCACAGAGCGGACATCAGCAGAACTCACACACATATAAAGGCTTTAGAAAGTCAAACGGAGACGGGTGGAGTAGCCCAAACTCTTTACATACCCAGAACCATCTCTTGTAAAAAAAAAAAAAAGTATCAGGTCTAAAACTCCTCCAGTACTGAGTAATTTCTAAAACTGCAGAGGAACTTCTAAGTACATCCAGCATCTTTTTTAAAGTATCATAAAAATGTTGTTGTAATACATTCTAAAGGAACATATTATGGCTATTAGTGTTGGAGAGCTTGGAAAACCTCTCACTGAATAAAGTGTCCCTTGAAATGCGTCCTATTTATTCATTCATTCATTCATTCATTCATTCATTTGGTTGGTTGATTGGTTGGTTGGAACAATTACAACACATACAATAAATCAAGAGTACATACAACACATAACCTACGGAGCCCTGCTAGTGACATCCCGTATAAGTAAAAATAATGCACGGCCACGACTAAGTGAGGCATGGAAATGAGATAATGAAGTCGTGGCCACAGCTTAATTATCTCATTCCCACACCTTAATAAGTTGTGGCCATGCATTATTTTTATTTATATGTAAGCCTTGGGAATGAGATAATTAATTCGTGGCCATGACCTAGTAAGGCATAGGGACCTTACTAAGTCGTGGCCACGCATTATTTTTATTTATAGCAGATGTCACCAGTAGGGCATAACAGGAGTGCTGTGATAAATACAAAAATCCCTGTTACAGAAAAAAGAGAAGAGCTTTCATGATTTCAGACCGTGACATTTTAACAGAATGTCCAAATAAGCTTTTACAAATACTTTTAATTCCGCCTCTCCTTTCTGCTCGACTTGGTTTTGCCTGATCTGTTAACCATGTGGATCCACACGCTACTCAGCTCTGCTGGTGAAGCTATGTGCTACAGATCAGGCAAAATCAAAGCCAGCATGCAGGAAAGGAAGTTTTACTCAGTTATTCGGGCGACGTCCGAGTCCGGGTTAACACCAGATGCACTTTTAAATCCAGCCAGCTGCAAAAACACCTTTATTATGTCCACCTCTCGTTCAGGCCGGTCGCTGGTCGCCCCGCGGTCGGGCAGGCGCTGATATTTCCTCCGGCGTTCTCGGCGGACTCCTACCACTCGGTGTGAGGACCCCGGAGAGGCAGCATGGCGGGCCCGGCGGAGTTTGAGTCGTGGCTGTGTTCGCGGCTGGACGCGCTGCAGGTGGACCGGGAGGTTTATGGAACTTATATCCGCAGCCTGCTGGAGGAGGAGGAGAGCGAGGCGGAGCGCCTGGAGGCTCTGAGGGCCACTCTGTCCGCTGTGCTGGTGAGGGTTCCAGTGAGGGGAGAGCGGGGGGGCTCCACTAATGCAGGAGCACATGCACTGTTCGTAGTAACTACATACGAGGCTGAAATAGGCTCCTTATTCGGATTTTGAGTTCCACCTTAAAGGGTTCAGCAATTTTAATTCGAATTTTGGGTTCCACCTTAAATGGTTCAGCACTTCTTATTCTGATTTTCCGTTCCACCTTAAATGGCTCAGCGTTTAAACTTTAAATGGTTTAGCACTTCTTATTCCAACTTTCTGCTCCACCTTAAACGGCTCAGTATTTCAACCTTAGATGATTCAGCACTTTGAGTTCTTCGTTCCACCTTAAATGAATCAGCATGTCCCCTTCAAATGGTTCAGCATTTATTTAAATTTTCCGTTCCACCTTTAAATGGTGAGGCATTTCCACCTTAAATGCTTCAGCACTTCTTATTCGAAGTTTCCGTTCCACCTTAAATGGTGCAGCATTTAAGGTGGAACTGAAAAGCCAACTTCAGCTTTAGTGTCTCCTTGTTCATGGGGCTGTTATAACAGCACTGAACCAGAGGAGTGAACCCTAGTTAGTCTACTACATAGGGAACAGGGGGTCCATTTGAGACACAGCCTTATGAAGACGAGTTCAAGTGACAGCTCTCTACACTGGTTGCCCGTTTGCCCTTAAACACTCACCATACAGGTTCATCTTGTTGGTTTACAGTTTCTAACTGTAGCTCATCTGCTGCTGTACAGTTTACCACACCCCCATGGGGTAGACGAGGAGCTGATAGGGGTTTGTTTACTGGGAACGTCAAGCCGAAAAGCATGTAATTTGTGCAATATTTAAGGCAACAGTGATTTCTAGTATGTTTGTAAATGTGGCTTTCGGTTTCAGTTTCATAGCTCTTACTCATTCAAAGAAATAGGAGTCCAGCCATGTAAGACTGGAAATAACTGCCAACACACTTTCCTGTAAGGCGGTAGTCACCAGCCCTGCTCCTAAAGCTCTGCCTTCCTGCAGAGTTCAGCTTTAGTCCAGATCTAACATACCTGATCCAGCTAATTTGGTGTGCTGATCATGTATTCAATCAGGCGTGGGGTTGCTGTCTGCTTTAAAGACTCACTAGACCAGGGTTTCCCAACTGGTTCACTGTGCAGGGAACGGGAGTCGATTTGAGACACAACCCTCTCAAGATCAGTTCAAGTGATAGCTTTACAAGCACATGTAGGACTAATGTTACATAACTATATATACCGCATTGGATTAGTGTTTCCCAACTGAAGTCCTGCACTGCTCAGTTTAGTTTTCTCCTTATCTAACACACTATCACATGTAATCAGATCATTTCTCAACTGTAGATCAACTTCTTGAGGTTAAAGAGTAGAACCGGCCTTTGTAATGGCGCTTCCCAAATTGTTCCTTATATACTTGGCCTATAAATAGCAGCTGACTGGGAGTTGAGGGGGTTGAGGCCAGTTTTGATATCTCTACCATATTGGTGCTGCTTTTGTAGGGCCTGAGCGAAATTAAGTTTTCTCAATGGTCCTGATTTTATGGTGTTAAAATGCTGATAGTTGGTGTAATTTTTAGGGTTAAAATTCAAACAGACTTTTTGTTTTAGTTAAACAGTGCTTTACTATTTTCAAATTTCATCGCAAATAATCAGTGGAAAACATACAATTAAATAATAGAAATATTATTAGTTAAATATGTATTATGGGAGTAGAATAAATCAAATAAACATTAAGTAGACACCACATAGATACACTTAAAGATACATAGATACAATAGAACATTAAATAAATTAACATTAACTTTATCAAGTTATGTGGAACTAAAAGCTGTGCATTCCAGTGTGAGTGACACAGAGCTAAACTAAAGTATATTTGAGCATTGTGTATAAATATGTAATAGAAAATAGATGATGTGTAGTTTATAGGGAAATTAAAAATATTTCTGCATTAATATTGCTCTTTATGGTGGCATGTATGTATATTTTCAGAGCTGTATGTTGTAACAGTAACACTAATTGAAGCTAAAAAGTAAAATGCTTCTTAAAAGATCTTAGTAAGTGAAACAAATGCCATTTTAACTGTGAGAAAACAGAAGAATTGTGTAAAAGGTTTATAAATTAATGAAATGATTTTATGAAATGTACAGACAATTCAGAGAATTGTTACATAATGCTGCTTCAACTGATGTCACAGCTCTGTGCACTGGGGCAGCCCAGAAATGTTTGATATTGCACACATCATGTAGTTAGAACAGGATAGAGAATTACCATATTTTTTGGCATTTTAATTTATTTTGAGTTCTTGCTGTTCCCAAAACTTTTTAAATATTAAATAACACTGAACGAAAAATACGTTCTGCTACTTTTCCTACAATATTTCAAGCTACGCTTTGTGAGTTACTGTTAAAATAAATTAAAAGCAGTTATTAACGCTGGTGACACATGATTCCAAACTTTTGAATGGTAGCGTATGTTTATCTAATGAACTGGAAACTTTGTGTTTGTTTTGCATGTCAGGATGTCTCGGATCAGTAACGATGTCAGTTTTCTTCTCCTGTCAGGAGGAAGACACACTTGAGGACGTCTGTCAGCAGATATTAAAACAGTGGACAGACTGCTGCGCTCGATCCGCAGCGGCCGGCAGCCACCCAGAAGGTAGATGCAGATTAATCATATCATCCTGTCAAAATTTCCTTCTCAGTGTTCTGCCTTCAGGCTTCTAGAAAGCAAAAGGATCAAAATTCTGACCATTCTCATTAAACGTTATACAAATATACACCACTGCTCTTAATCCTCACTTTAATGACCGTCGATAAAAGGGGTGTGAATGTCTGACTTGAGAGAAATTATTTAATTTGATCCAGCCAAAAAGTCAACTTGAAAAAACACAAATGCTAAAACTTGTACTTTATTTTCTAAACGTATGAGAGAGAGGATATAAATTTTTCTCCATTCAAACGGAGAAGACTCCTGCCGAAATTGACATAACGCCAACATCAGACGCATGCTCCTCTACAAACCAATCAGTTATGTATAGAGAGACGCAGCCCTTATAGGTGATGATGACAGGAGGTGTGTCATACAAAGTTCTTTAGTGCACTCGCTAAATTGCAATCTGTCATTAAAACTAACCTGATCAAATGTATTCAGTGTAACAAAAACATGGACCTTGGTTTGGACCTTGGTCCAGACTTACAGGTGTGAAAATGTCCCTAAAGGGCATTTTTCAGAGTTTCCATATTAAGGTAATTCTGAGAGGTTTGATGTAAAAAAAAAGGTACTAGAAAATGGTACTAAATCAGATTTCTTTACAATGCTGGTGAGGAACCAAGAGTCTTGATGTCTACAATGCAAAGTAGTGATTTTCTTTACTATCCAAACCACCAATGAACCTACCTGTGTTTTTGAGATTGATTTAACATCGTATGATATGGCAAAGGTAATGTTCATATGTAGTGGAAAAATGATAGTAAATCTGAAAAATCATTTGTCTTAGGCAGTGTATTTATTACCATTTCATTGAATATCTTTCTGTGAGGGAACTTTTAGAGACATTAAACTCTTTAAACAGAGAGTGTGGTTCGTATCACAACTACTGTGAACAATTCTGACTCCTTTCACATCAAACCCCTCAGAAGGACTTCAGTTTACATCTCATCATTGTTAATTATAATCAGTTATACCAGATAATAAAATTGATTCAATTGAATTGAATATATGGCTAAACTAAGAAATATGGCTAAACTTATACCTCTAGTTGAAAAGGTACACGAGAAAGTACTTTGTCTTCTCTTGATGCCTAGACAAATAAGGCAAAAGACCATCCAGGTATATTTACACTGAGTCATACTGTGGTTACCTGTTTTGGATATAGACAGTAGGAAGAGAAGTGCTCTGAAATACCTGTTTGGCTTCCATTAAACAGAGTGGTAAGTATATGTCGCATCTAAAATGCAACTGGTTTTATCAGAATATGATTAGTTTTCTTTTTTTGTGTGTCTCTGTCTTTCCAGATGAGGTTCAGGCCATCGCCAGTCTGATAGAGAGGCAGGCCCAGATTGTGGTCAAACAGAAGGAAGTGTCGTCGGAGGACAAGAAGAGGAAAGAAGCGTTACTTGCTCAATACGCCAATGTCACAGACGAGGAAGAATATCCTTACAGTCTCAGAGCGAGATGAGTGTTTTCTCTTGATGATAGGTGGGGTGGTGGGAAGGGAAGAAGGTAAAACATTATTGGTTAATATTATTTTCCCGGCACGCCGGTGCATGGAGACGTAATCCAAATATTTATCTGAGGAAGTTATATATAAGATTTCTACTTGAATATGAAATGGTAAAGTCAAAGAAAAATAAGTGAAAAAACACTGAAAAAAAAAACAGTTTCCAAATCTAGAGTCAAACAATTCTTGAAAGCTACAGAGAAAATGGGAGACACCAAAACTGTCCCATCAGATAAACAGCACTTAAAGCTTTCATCTCTGAGAGAGAGGAGAAAATCAAGCTGCTTCAGATCTGAAAACATCCACAGGTGTTTCTGTCCATCCTTCCACTGTGAGAGGACGACTCAGAACTATGGGTCTGAAAGGATGTGTGGCTGTCAAGAAGCTCTTACTGAGAAAAGGAGACGGACACATCACACAAAGAAGCTGAACAGTGGACTGACCACCCCAGAGTCCAGACCTCAGCATCACTGAATTTGTTTGGGATTACTTGGATCATAAGAAGCAGAAAATACAACCAACGTCTAAGACTGAACTTTGGAGGTGTGAAAAAACCCCTGCAGATTTCTTTAAAAAAACTGAAAGCAAGTTATAAAGGCCAAGAATGGACACACAAAATACTGAAAGATGTTATAATTACGTTTTGAAGCTTCTGTATAATTTAGTGTTCATGTTTTCTGCTTTTTTCCCTGATGCTGAAAAAACAATAACTTGAACTTTAATGGCCATTTTGACTGTGACTAGTCTAAATGAAGGGTGGTCCCTTAAGTTTGCACAGTCCTTTAGAGATGGGCATAAGTCATTAAATCTTTAATGGATGAATACAGGAATTTTATTTTTTATTTTAAATGTTGTAAGTCAGACGCATTATTACCATTAACATGAATTTTTTACATGATACACCACTTCACAATATTTACTTTTTCAGACATCTGTTGAGTTGAAACTGAGGGGGAAAAAAAAGAACCAGCAGTGTTACATTTTTAAGACTACTATAAAAACTGTGAACACAATGAGTGTGTTTACATGCTCTCAATAATCTGACCATAATGTGGATTTTTGCTCTTATTCAAATGGTCTTGTAACGAGCATACACTGTTTTCTTAGATCGGAGTAAGAAATCCGATTAAGAAATCTGATAAAGAGAGCTGGATTTTAGCTCAGTAATCTGATTTCTCAGTGCATGGAAACTCTTAACTCTGATTTCTTTCGGATATCTCAGTCTGTGCATGCGCGAGAACAGACCACGGTACCGTAAATAAGCAAGCAGCGTAGCCACGAGACGCACACCACGTCTTCTGTGAGTTTTTTGGCTGGTTGCAAAGCAGAAATCTGATTACTGCCTGACTCATGTAGACCTGGAGTTTCCCCATTAATTAGATTACTCAGGTTCACGTAAACGTGTTGATAGGATTACTGATAAAAATTGGATTTTCTGCAGTTATCGGATTATAAAGTGCATGTAAACGCACTCAATGATTTTTATTCAATATTTGACGTACTATGTTGCACTAAACCCAGTTAAACTGGACTAATAATGAAACATGCAGTTATATATTGTCAAATTGCCCAGCCCTAGGTTGACTTAAATTAAGGAAACCCAACTGTGAGTTGTAGTGGTAGTGTTTGCAAAAGAGTTGTAGAGCAACGGTTTCTCTGAGATTTGTCTTGTTTCTAGAAATTTCCTTAACGTTCACACTGAGGACGATGAAGCGGAGGAGCCAGGAGCTGTGGCAGTCCCCAGTGACAAATGTATCCTTTTTTTCACGTTCTTGCAGATGAACACAAATCCATTTTTAGCTATGCAATGCACTTTTCTCCTTCACCCTGAGCCTCAGCCCTCTTCAAGAACACCAACGTGGAGGACGTCCTGAACCGGCGCCGGCAGCAACGTGAGCAGGCGAAGGAGGGCGCACAGAAGAAGAAGGAGCAGGACAAGATGCAGAGGGAAAAAGACAAGGTGGCAAAACAGGAGCGCAAAGAGAAAGAGAAGAAACGCACACAGAAGGGGGAGCGCAAGAGATAGACAGGAGACGCATCAGTGGAATCCATTTTTGGACTACAGAGATTCTTTACTGAGAAAACAATGTCACCTCTGCAGACTGTGTTCTGGTGTAAGGTGTGGGCACCCATGTTGAATTTTTTAATACAAGTGACGTGTCGCTCTGCTGGGGGCTTGTAACCCAGGGCCTGGTTGACTAAAGCCATAGCACACATTCAGTTACTGATCATGTCCATTCACACCCAACAACAGTGATTCTCAGTTCCAGTCCTAGTGACCCCATGCATTGCATATTAGTGGTTTTCGTGCTCAAAAACATCTGCCTTAGTTTGTGAAGATACTGGGGTTGGACTTGAACACTGAGAAGTTCATAAGAAAATGAGAATTCTACAGATTTTTCAAAACATCTGTATAATTTAGTTAAGATTTGAGAAGTCATTCAGAGAGGTTTGATGTGAAATGATTAATTGTAGAAAAAACTTACTGACCTAGATTTTTTTTTACAGTGATGGTGATAGGAACCATGGGTCACCATGTCTACAACACAAGTAGCCATTTTATGACATCCTAAATGACCAGTGAACCTGCACACATCATCTGAGTTTTATAATGCTGCTGCTGCTGCTAAAACAGTGGTAAATCAGAAAAAATTAGTTTCTCTTGAGGGCTGTTTTGCCTTAGAATACCCTGCAAGTACCTTCCCACCATGGTTGGATTACTGAGCAATGTAAAAATACATTTAAGGCCAAAATCTTATCTTAAAACTGATGTCTCAAGTATCAGGAAGTGTATTCATAACCATTTAATTTCATTCCTCTGAGGTATCTTGTAGAGGCAATAAAAGCTTTTGACATCTGGTTCCGGTCACCACGACTGTGAACAATTCTGACCTAGTAAGTTTCTCTATAATGTAGCATTTCGCATCAAACCACTGAATGACTTTCTTTACATCTTGACAATTAAGTCATGTAGACATATTTGAAATATAAATAAATTCCTTTTTTGGAGTTAAAAGGGAAGAAATTTTCAAATATTCTGTGTGAGGTAAAGTGTGTAAGACAAGGAAACTGTTTCACATTGGGCCTCGTTCACCAACTGTCCTTAAGAAGAAATATCTTCTTGAAACCTATTTCCTCAGTTTTCACAAATATTCTGATATTCATCAATGTTTTCTTATTTGGGATTTGTTTTTAGGTAAGAACAGAATCTGTATACGCTTAAGCAGGAAGGTGCGAACAATTCTGCGGTTAAGAACACGTTATGAATCTGACAAATATTTTTTTTTCTTAGCACTTTTCTCAGGAACACATTTGAGAAAACCTCGGAAGATATTGGTGAATGAGGCCAATTGTTTTCAAGAATGGCACCTGTTCGTACAAATGTTCTTAAGGAAAAAGCTGAGGTTTTTGTAGAAAAACAGTTTTATCTCAACTTTTCTTTCTAATGATCCCTGATCATTTGTCGATTAGTTGAACCAGGTCTGTGAAAACAGGAAAACAACTGTAAATGTAAGATGCATGGGGTCGTAAGGACTAAGACTGAGAACCACTGAAGTGTTACGACTGTGAGTTCATCGTGAGTCACCGATCGCTAATCAGGTGACTAGAATTTACTGATCATTTTATAATACTCAGTGCCACTTGCTTTAGTAAATCTGGCACATTATTTCACTAAGCATGAACCTGTCAGACAGTGTAAACCTTCATGTTTATCATGTAAAGCTTTTTTTTTTTAAAGATTGAGAGCCCATACATGCCATTATGTTTAAGCTGCTTCTTGGAGGTAAACCATTGTGCTTTCCTCTTTGTGTTATCCGGATATGTCAACAATTTTGAGATGCACCAGAAATGGCACACAGCAGTGGTCTTTTTGCTTTCAGCTAAACTGCTTAAAAGCCTTTCCGAACTTGAAACTGCCACAAGCCGCCTTTACATGTAGCAATACTCAAAGCGTGCTCACAAACAGCCCAAAGAGGTGAGCTGTCTGCTTACAGATACATGGGGACTGGACATTAAGACTCTAAATGGCGTATGGTGTTCTGCGGTCATGCTTTTTACCCTGTTGCTTTTTCCTGTTGTGTCCAATAATGATGAGTGACACATTTTTGTGTATGTAGAAAACCTGTTGACTCAAACCATAATTACTATAGAGGCTAATGGGCAGCTGCTGAAGAAAGCGATGGAGCACTGCCCACTGGTTTCTGTTGTGTGTTGATGCATGTTTTCTGTTCTGTTTCACTGCAAGAATTATCTTGGCAAGCTACAAGATTGGAAATCTAGGTAATATATCTACATCATTTTGAGACTGCTGTAAGAATAGTAAAAGATTATTCAACTTATTTCAAAACGTGTTTTATCTGTTTTCAGACATTTTGTCTAGAGAAATTCTTATTCTGTTGGCAGACAATTTTAGTTTTTCTGCCAAGAATAAGAATTTCATTAGATAACTGAAAGAAGTAAAAAATGTTTAGTAATTAGTTAAATAACCCGAATATTCTTATAACAGTCTGGAAATGAGAAATATTCGATTTTTCCATACAATTGAAATTACATTTTCCAAGGTACCTTGGAAGGTATTCCAAGATACCTTTTTTTTTAATTCTAAATATAGGGAACTGTGTCAGTTGTCCTGGTAATCAACCTAATGCTACAGATGCAGCTGATCAAGGTTAGTTTAAAAATGCTATTGTTTATTTAAGTGGTATTATACTGTTAAACCAGGAAAGAGGATTGTGTATTTCCCGACGTTCATTTGAAGCTGCTACATGTGCCAATCCGTACCTCGCAGAATGCCTTCTTATGCACCACGTGGGCTGCACTGTATACACATGGACCCCTGTGACCCCTTATTGTCCCTTAAAATCAACATGCTATGAAGGTGAGGGGTAATATTCAGACAAGACTGCCCGGTTATTGGAGCAAAGGCATTTTGCAAGTCAGTTACACCTGGAAATTTTTTTTCCCTCCAGACTCCACTTGTTTTTCTGAAATGTTTTGTAGTGTGAGATGTGATTCCTGACTTATTCCTTTATTAACGATTTTGTTTTAATGAATCAATTTTGGGAATATTGTGATTTCTCTTTGCTTACACCCCCCCTTGTGTGCAATTCTTACAATGGGTGCATTTTAATACCTTTCCAAATAACTAAAAATTGCCATGAAGCATCAGTTTGGGCTTTGACTTTATTATTATACCGTATAATTTACTTGTAGCAGTAACTGATAACAGAAAGAAGACCAATGCAACAATAATCAGAAACAGAAACATTAAAATGCGTCATATGAACAGTGACAGTACCCTGACATCAGCAGGTTTCAAGCTGATTACTTCATTTATATAATTCCATGCACAAGTCATCATTTTTCCCAGGTCTGCAGAGGAATGCTGTCTATTAAGTTCAAATCAAAATCATAGAAGAAATGTGATTCATCATAGATGGGCAGTGAAATTAATACTTCAACAAGATTGAGATTATTACTACTTATTTAAATCTGGAGTTATTGGAAATAAATAAAATCAATTAGCAAAACTGCCAAAATTCTGCAAAGTATTTTACCTGAAAAATACTTTGCAATTATTATTCAATTAATATTCAAATGTTGCAGCAAACACATTCCAATAAATAAGCACAAGAAAATTGGACACTGTAGTGACACTGAAGTTATAAATAGTGCCTTAACTTACAGGTACTTCCAAAAGACTTACCTTAGAGCAGACACTAATTTAACTGTCAAGGTTATACTATTCAAAGATAAATTATTTTCAATGCATTACATAGTGTGAACTTTTCAGAGGGACTATTTAACGTATACTCAACGTTTGTACTAAAATCTGAGACCAAGAGTGTGACCATCTCATTATACTTCAAGCTCACTGACCTTTACATTCTTCTCCAATGATCACTGATCAACAGCTAAAAGGCTCCTCTTCTCATCTGTTCTTGCCAGTCTCTTTGTCCTTCTGGATCTTGCCCTGCCTTGCATCAACTCCCTAAGTCTTTCTTTCACCCTAACTGTTCTGCCTCTTACTCCAGCTTTCATCTTCTCTGTCTCACATGCTTTTTCTCCCTCTCTTTCAGTAAGCAGTCTGTCTAAAAAAAGACATGCGGAGGGCCATTTGAAATCTTGAAAAATGGCTTGGTGATCTTATTGCCATCATTTCCACATACTGTCCTTTGGAGAAGCTGTTTACATGTTGATTGGGATATGTAAGTAAGATTGACAAATGTTACTGAACTGAGGACCTATTGACCACCTACTGCCCAGAACAGAGCCTACTATATCACCGTAGTGTAATAACTGAAGTAACAATATTCACACGCTCCACCGAACACCAACACCTGCCGCTTCCATCTGCTTGATACTGTGTGTGAGCACACGTACACTGAAATGACTGGCAAAGATCACACGGCTCTCTCTGGAATGATCTGGTCAGGACTATGTTGACCCAAAGGCGAACAGGTGTCTCCTTCTCCTCCATCGTCAGGGCCAGTGCTGGTTTTGGGCAGAGTCATCTGCAGGGCACACCACAGAGCAGTGCGTGACTTCCTGGTGCTACTGCTCAGGTCCTTCAGTGCAGAGGCCAAAAGGAAGATTTCTGAGTGAGGTAAACAGAAAAAGGAACACTTTAACATACACTATATGGACAAAAGTATTGGGACACCTACACATTACACCTGCAAGAGCTTCTATGACATCCCATTCTAAATTCATAAGCATTAATATGGAGTTGGTCCCCCTTTGCAGCTGTAACAGCTTCCACTCTTCTAGGAAGCTTTCTACAAGATTTTGTAGTGTGTCTGGGAATTTCTGCCCATTCATCCAGAAAAGCATCTGTGAGGTCAGACACTGATGTTGGACGAGAGGGCCCGGCTCACAATCTTCGCTCTAGTTCATCCCAAAGGTGTTCGATGGGGTTGAGGTCAGGGCTCTGTGCAGGTCAGTCAAGTTCTTCCACACCAAACTCACCCGACCATGCCTTTGTGGACCTTGCTCTGTGCACTGAGATACAGTCCATGCTGGAACAGAAAAGGGTCTTACCCAAACTTTTCCCGCAAAGTTCGAACCATTAGATTTCCTTTCACTGAAACTAAGGGGCCTAGCCCAACCCTTGAAAACCCCATAGCATTTTCCCTCCTCCACTAAACTTCACCGTTGACACAATGCAGTCAGGCAGGTAATGTTCCCCTGGCATTCACCCAAACCCAGACTCGTCCATCAGACTGCCAGACAGAGAGGTGTGATTTGTCACTCCACAGAATATGTTTCCACTGCTCCAGAGTCCAGTGGACACATGCTTAACACCACTCCATCTGATGCTTGGCATTATGCATCATTATGTAAGGCTTGAAACCCATGTCATGAAGCTCCTGGCACAGTTTTTGAGCTGATGTTAAAGCCAGAGGAGGTTTGGAACTCTGCTGAGTCAGCAGAGCGTCAGTGACTTTTATGCACTATGTGTCTCAGCACTCAGCGACCCCACTCTTTTTTGTAACTTTTTGTGGTCTGACACTTCGTGGTTGAGTTGCTGTGGTTCCTAAATGTTTCCTTTTTCCATAACACCATTCACAGTTGATTGTGGAATATCTAAAAGGGAAAAATTACTGACTTGCAATGGTTTATACTGGGACTGAATGCAAGACCTAAATTCAATTATTAAGAGGTGTGTCCCAATACTTTTGTCCATGTAGTGCATTTTAATGTTTCTACTTAGGAGAGCAAGGGGTCAAAAACTGTTTTTATTTTTTACATGACTTGTTAACACCAGTTAACAAGTGCTGATGATTTCATGATAAAATGAACAATGCTCCCAAATATTTGAAATTAAGTATAATTAATTTAGGTTAAATTAAATTAAGTTTTTTTTCTCCACTGTAAAGTTACCATGGACAGTAATGATAACCTGATGCTTTGTTTCTAACGTACATGTTCACTGAACAAATGTATAAGGGTGACCATGCAGGTGCTTTTTAGGTGTAGTGCACACTCCTCTACAGACAACAAAGAATAGAAGCGTACTTGAGAGTATTTGAAAAGGCCTCATCTAAACACCTCTTTATAAATCAAATGAAGCAGCTTTGCTGAGAAAATATGTACCTTCAACAATTCCATGTTCAGTAAGTTGAAAAAAGAAACAATATATTATAGGCAAAGTCACAATCATTTCTTAAGACCCAAAGCACAGGCTAAATAATGCATTATGTTATCAGGACTGAACAACTATGATACTGATAATGGTTACCTAAACCAATTATCTACCATTACAGACAGGGCAGAAGTATTTTTTGGATGTCTGAAGCTTTTGGGATGTTACCACCTCTGTATGTCCAGATGAGGGTGTAACTACCTCTGTCTTCCCTGAGGTAAGCTGAGCCTTGTCTCTGTCTGCTGCTGCTGTTGAGGAATTCATCCTTGCGCCGGGCCTGAGTGATGTAGATAGCCTCCAGGTGCCTGTCCAATGCTGAACAGATATTAGCATGGAGAGGAAAACTCCACAAGCGCTCCATTTTCCCCAGCAAACTCACTACCTGTAAAATAACATACCACTAATTTGAAAAGACACCACTTTATCTCATGGTACTGATAATAAAATGATGGACACCTCAAATATACAGTACAGTACAAAACTTTCTTTTAGTCCAAATTTTATTTTTTTAGACATTATATTTCATATTTTGCTAAAAGGACTTGCTCCCCCAAGAAAAAAACATATTGATTTAAACACAAAACACATAATTACAAGAAACTCATATAACACAAACAATATGCTAGTAAAAACAAGTCTATAGCGCTTACCCTCCTAGCTCAATCTTTTTGATCTCTCATCTATAAATTTGTACTGACCTTGGCCTGTTCTCGAAGCTGATCCACTATGAGCCTGTCAACTCTGGAGGGGTTGGGAGGCATTTTGGGCAGAGAGCTATTGCTCTCCATAGACAAATGTTTGTCTGGGTAGCTCTTTACCAGTACAGCCTCTGTCTATAAGAAAATAACACTTAACTGCTTTTCATGTTTCACATCATAAATGCTCTCAAGGCCTAGCTCTAATGACTCCACGAAGTCAGCCCTAAACATCAAGAGGTTTGTGACAATTGGCCCAAAAGGAGGAAAAGAGCACAAGCTGTAGCTGTTATGTGGGTAGGGCATTAGATAGTTTTCAGTACAAAATGCTAAGTCAGCATTTGGAACTTTACTGATGCTTAACTGAAACTTAAAAACTCTGGAGCATTGCAACTTAGAACTGGAACTGGAAACATTACCTTTTTTCTCTCTTTCTCCAGCATTCTCCATTGCTCGTAGCACTCCTCCAGATAATGGTGCAGTTGGCTCATAGGGGCTCCACGGCTCTTGGTGAGTTTGGGTGACCTCATGGTGTGCAGAAACCCAGGAAAAGACCCATCTACACCAGCTGGGTTTGGCCCTATCAGCTCCTGTAGGTAGGGGTTTAAGGTTGCAAATTCTCCATCTGGCAGAAGCTCACTCATGTCCACATAAGGCATGGAGGGTCCATAGGGCAGCAAAGAGCGGGAAGGGAACAAGTGACACTGATTCTGTCGAGGATCCCCCATCTGGTACATGTAAGGAAACATTTGGCATGGCAGGGATTTGGCTTGGCTGAAGCCAGCCCCTTTGTGTCTGGCATGACCAGCATACATATTGCCTAGAAATGGGTTCTGCAGGAGGCCCTGTTGTTTGTCTGCCTCCCTCGGAAAGCTAGCTGGTGATTTGGGTTTTGCTCCAATCCGCTGCCCCTCAGATGTGGCAGCAGAACCTTGCAGCTTGCCTTTGTCTAGCTGCAAGTTGAAGTCCACTCCATCTCCACTGCCAGCTACGTTCCTCAGACCTTCCAGACCCAGGCCTAAGCCTGCTTGGCCCATCCTTCCTTGTAGACTCAAACCATCACCCTGCCCAAAATCAGTGAGGACTCTGGCTGTAGGCCTCTGCTGGGATGACAAGAGTGGAACAAATTCAGCCAGAGAGTGGGACAAGAGCTTGGATATCCCTGGGTGCTCAGTGTTGATGCTGGTCTTGGCTGGAAGCTTTGCTTTACTCTGGTAGTGGTTTGACTGGCCATGATGGAACTGGTGGAGACTGGTTTGGTGGGTTCTAGTTTCTCTCTGGGTTGTCTCTTTGCTTTGGGGAGGAGCTGAAGGGTTAAAGGGGGGTGA